GAAGACATCTTTATATTCGAGGAGCAGTTCAAAAAATGTTTTTTTTTTCCTCAGGTGTTAAGAGTGTTCCCACAAAGGTTGGTCGAGGGTCATCAGGAGTTCCCAAGTTAAATTCTTTCAAATTGTCAACAGTTGATTGCCCCCCATCTTCAAGTTTTAAAGGAGCTTCTTGGAGATCATCATCCTCCGAATCTGAGCTAGAATCTTTTTCAATTGTTACATGGTGAGAAGCAACATGTTCAATTTCTTCTTCTCTTTTACTTTCCGCTTGAGTCTTAACTTCTCCAGTTAGTATGATAGTGTGCCTTTTGACCTTAAGCGGACCTTCAACACTAACTTCAAGTGATGTCATGTGTTTCATGCGAGAAGGAATCAAACTTCGAGTCTCATCGTCCTCCTTTGTAGAATTCAACTCAATTGTCGTTGTACTTCTCTTGTTCTTGCCTTTTCTAGGTGATGTATTCATATCACCAAGTGAGCAAAAATGGAGTTCGTGACCAAGAAGTTTGTTTTTCATCCCCTACCTTAGTACTGCCTAATCTGTTAAAAACTGAAGGTTGAGAAGTTGTACCTTCATCTTTCTTATCAACAGTGCTCATCCTATTAAAAACCGAGGTTCAAGGTGCAGGAGCTTCAATACGGTCAAACACTAAAACTCGAGGAGTTGGGCTTGGACTTTTGTCTTCCTTCACTTCTTCCACAGTGATATGTTATACGTCTTTCTTCTTTCATTTTCTTTTGGCAGAGATATGAATGGGTTCAGTTGGCATGAATCCGACTCCAGTCTTTAGGGGGCTCAACCTGTACCCTTGTTGCCTTAACTTTTTTTGAGTTTTGTTGAGATCGTGAACTTTCTGATCTATAAGTTCAGGACTTAACTCTCCCAGTGATGAGGGATCAGTAAAGTCATAACCTGACTTGGCTAAAAGCTTGTAAGCTTGTGGATCAAACCCTTCCGTTCGTCTTTCAGGCAAGGAGCCATGTTCGATAAAATTTTGCGCAGCCCTAAGAAATCCCTTCAGTGGAAGTTTAATCAGGTTTGATGATGCCACCTGTGGAATTGGTATTGTTGCATCTGCTCTTAGTATCTGCAGATCTTGTAAGCAAAGTCTCCTTTAACTTTTGTGGACGTCGTGACTTTTTCAAACGACGATTGCCCTTTTTCCATTGAGACCTCAGCACATACTTGAAGACTTTTGTCATTGCATGGCCTTTTAAGGATGAAGGCTGTTTTTGTGGTGACATAACCTCAGGTGTTTTTTTGCCACTTGATACGTCTTCCCTTGAGAAGTCCAACATAACTTGCTTTTCTTCATTCATTTTTTTTGTTCTTGTAGAAGGGATTTCAACTGAAATAACTTCAGGTATCCCATTGGAATCCAAATAAAATTTTGCATCAGCGAAGTGAGCCTTGGTTTCTGTAAATGGCTTGTCATCTGCTAGCACCGTCTTTATTCCACCTTGGCCAAATTTAAAACATTGACGGAAAGTTGTTACAACTACACCATTTCCATGGACCCAAGGTCGCCCAAGCAACAAATTATAGGACGTTCTTGTATCGATGATGTGAAACAAAGTACTGGCTGTGAGATCTCCAATGGTGAGGTTCAAACGAATCATACCAATCGCGCATTTCCCCACTTGGTTGAAACCATAAATAACCAGACGGTTTCGAGCTAACTCGTCAGTTGGGATTCCGAGTTTCTTCATGGTGAACTTTGGCATAATGTTTACTACTGAGCCTCCATCAACAAGGATGCAGATAACTTTTTGTTCACTAATAAAGCCAGAGACAAACAATGGGCGATTGTGTGGCTTTGAACCTAGTTGAAGGTCTTTATTAGTGAAGGTGATTATTGTGCAACAGGGAACAGAAATGATGGAGTTCACCTTTGTAACGCCCTGCTATTTCATACATGAATCCATCGCAACCAATATAACAACATACCACAAAGCCATCATTTTCACTGAACTAAGAATTAAAATTTGTAACTTCTCTATTTACATGTCCTTAAAATCTTGTACCCAACTCCAAGTTCTACAAACATGATGACAATTACAATAGAAGAACCCCATGGGTGTACAAGACAACAACAAAATAAGTCTAACAGCCCTATTACAAAACTCTAAGTCTTTATAGTAAAATATTCTCAGCTGTCAATCCCAAAACCGCTTACTTCAAGTCACCACTGTAGTTGTACAACATTATTTCCTGAAAAAAGAATAGGGGTGAGCTATATGCCCAGTAGGAATACATTTAACCAAGTATTTAATCATTCGAATAAATTTATGGCACATTTGAGACAAAACATAATAAGTAGTTATGAACACATGTAATCTTCATTGATCATGTAAATATATAACGATTAAGCATGGAGCATTACATTTCACACCTTTATAACACAACAATTAGACAATGACATCAATGGAAAACAAACCATGAGTCCCATGTAAGAGTCCAACACAAGTGTAGACACCCCATTTTTGACCGTCCTCAAGACTTGGACGTCATCGTTTGAACACTCGATGATCATCCATGTTCGTGTTCGTCTTGAGTTCTTGGAGGTTTCGGCTGCGCGCCTTGCCTCAAGACCTCTCGACTTGTTTGTTTTGTGTTTGATTTTACATCAAACACTTACTGTTTTGCTTCTGAGGGTGGAAAATAGCTTGTAGGCCATCCCCACACCTCACCGGCCATGGCTTGAGGCCACCAGCCTTGTTTCCTTGCCGCCGGCCATTGGTGATGGCCGGTCGGCACTATTGATGGTCGGTCGGCATTGTGTTTGGTCGGCCGGCCACTGTTTTTGATCAATCGGTCACTTTTCCTGGCCGAGACTTTTTCTTGAGGGAGCTTGACCCTTTTGAACCTTTTTTTTAGCTTCTTGAGGAAGCTTGAACCTTTTTAGCTTCTCCAAGAAGCTTGATCCTTTTTTTAGCTTCTCCAAGAAGCTTGATCCTTTTTTTTAGCTTCTCCTAGAAGCTTGAACCTTTTGACCCTTTTTAGCTTCTCCAAGAAGCTTGACCCTATTTTAGCTTCTCCAAGAAGCTTGATCCTTTTTTTAGCTTCTCCAAGAAGCTTGAACCTCTTGACCCTTTGTCTAGCTTCTCTAAGAAGCTTGGCCCTTTTGCTCCAAGCTTCTAAGAGAAGCATGGCCTTTTTGCTCAAAGCTTCTAAGAGAAGCTTTGCCCCATTGGTTTCTCTATAAAAAGAGGGCCTCTCCTCCCCTTTAGAGGGTTAGAAAAATATGATATATATCATATATATCACTCCCTCTCTATATCTCCCTCTCTCTCTCTACATTTGTGTGGGTTAGAAGGTGCAAAAAGGTCTAGTTCTTGGCCATTTGAACTACACCTCCTAGCACAACACCTCCATCATCAACCTAAGGAGCTTGAAGGCCATTTTCAGAGGCTAAGGGACTATTTTTTTGGACCAAGAGGCTGCTGTCCCCTTTTGGCTACAAAGGTAACTCCTTTTATCTCTTTATTCCCCGTTTTTGCACACACTTTTAGCCTATCTTGCTTGTTGTTTTGAGCTTTGTGTATAACATAAAAAAGTTCTGTTTTTTTTGTGTTTAAGATACTTCATTAAGGTCACTTTTGTATTTGGGGTCGTTTACCCCCTCTTAGGCCTTGTTTGGCCTTTTTTTTGTGCATTTTTGGTGAGCTCCAGGACCACCTTGTTTGGGCCTCCTCACCACTGAAATCTTGAGGGATTTCAGTAGTGAGGATGGTGGTTTGAGGTCCTAAGAAGGAGAGGGTCATCCCCTCTCCTTGTTGCCTTCAAAACTTGTCATTTTAGCCTCATGTGTGAGCACCTTGTTTAAGTTCATATTGGCCAAGTCTTAAGTAGTATTTGTGCTTATTTTACCATGATATAGCACTGTTTTAAGTTGGTTTAGACACACCATGCTTGCTTTGCATACTTGTCTTGTAATGCCATGAAATTGCCTTAACATGTATCTAGCATTTAGACCACTATGCTTACTTGTTTTGGCTTAGCTTTGTGAAGCTTTTATGCATGTTTTAGTGTGCTTAAGGTTTATTTTTGGTCATTTGGGTCATCCATGCTTTGCTTTGTATAGCTACCATACAATCTCCCTTGTAGGCCTTGAGTGTTGACCCCCCTAGCATGCTTTACTTGCTTTGTTTTAGTGGTTTAGAGCCACTTATCATGCCATTTTAGTCCTTATAGCATGCTTGTATGCTTGCATTTGATGCTCCTTTAATGCTTTAAGAGGTTGGTGTCTTATGCTCCATGTTTGGTCCCTTTTGTATGATTCCATGTATAGGCCATTTAGATGCCATCTAGGTGTGTCTTTGACCTTGTTTTGGCATGATTTGGGGCTGTTTTGTTTCACTTTGGTCATTTGCTTCATATGTCACATGACCATAGTTTAAGTCCTTGGGCTTGGTTCCATGCCTTGCATTAGGTTGTGTGCCTAGTACATATTGCATGTTTGCATACTTGCCTCCATGCTCATGTTGCATACTTAGCTCACATGCTTAGGTTGCATTTGGCATGCATGCCTTGCCTCTTGAATCACCATGATAGAGGTTGGGCCTCTTGTTTGTTTGTATGCATTTCATCCCATTGAAATTGCACAACTTGGCTCTTGGGCCATCACGCATCGAAATGTGCGATTGGTGGGCCGAGGGTCGAGGACCATCCTCCTTTGAGTCATGAACATGATAAGGAGGGTGGTGGTGCAAACATTGCTTTGAAAATGCATTGCCATGCCTTGTCTGCCCTCTACTGCTGTCAAACAGGTTTTTGCAGGAAGTTTTGGCTGGCCGGCCATATACACTGCCGACCGACCAAATATATTTAGCCGAGAGCTCAATGGATGGTCGATGACCACTTCAAAATGGCCGGTGATGATCCCACTTGGTCGGTGATGCTCCTCAATATCCATAGAGTGCTCCCTGGGACTTGTGCAATTTTCAGAGGAGTAGAGCAGGGAAAACAGAGGCAAACTTGTGCATGGCGTTGGATTTCTGAGCAAACCCGAACACGCATTGTATTGGACCCTCCTCCCGAGGCCTTTACTGCTTTCTTAGCTTAGTTAATTCCCTTAACTAGTTAAGTGGTCTGTAATATTTAATTAACTTGTAGGTTAATTGATTTGTATTATTCTTTTGGTCCCTCCGAGCGAGGGCGAATTTGTAATAAGTGTGGGTGCGTGTGTGCATGTCTTTCAACCCCCACTTCTTTCTCCCTTTTACTTACCTGTTTTTGATGGTTAGTATTAGGTCATATTTAATTTAACATACCTTATGCTATGCATGCGTGCATCCATACATTTGTCTTGCATGCACCGGGCTCGGCGCATCATACTAACTGCATTGTATTTTAATTCCAAGTTGAATACGTGTTAGTTGTAGCATCATCATATGACATCCATAGATTAGCCGAGCCTATTGTAGCTGCATCTTGCATGTGTTGCATTAGCCATCTTAACATGA